TATAATTTCACAATTATAAGTTTAAAATCACCAACCCGTCTTGAGCAAGCGTGGTGTTTAATGCACAAACCTTCTCCATGTGAGAAGAGGCTCAGCAGTGGGCTCTGATAGGATGATGATGATGACAAAGTATTATTCAATAAAATGTATAAATACAAAATACGTACATTACACAGTTAACTATACTCAAACTAAGGATAATACTTTGAATTTAAACGTAAAAGCAACTATAATTAGTACACAGTAACAAAAACTAACAATTAAATATAAAAAATTAAAGTCTATAATAATGAACATAATGAATGTCCAGATATTTTAATTGGATATAATTATGTATTGAAAAAACATATATTTTTGTATTTATAACATAACTTAGACGGCTAATTATTTTGAAGTATTTATTATTAGGGTGAATTTTAATTAAAAATAGTTAGGTAAATTTAAATATTGTTATAAAGAACATTATACATATATATACAAGACCCGGCGAACTTCGTATCACCCTATAATCAAGAAATATCTATTACGTTTTTTTATTTATATTTTTGGAGTTTACCTATTAAAGCCATAAATCTCCGTGTTTTGAAGTGCGACAGAATGATTGACATATTAGTTAGTTGTCAAATCTAATGTCAAAAAAACGTTTGTATTTAACTGCTAATAAATTAAAAATTAATTAAAAAAACATTACACACACAAAAAATTTCATCAAAATCGGTCCAGTCGTTTGAGAGAAGTTCAGTGACATACACACTCACAGAAAAATTATATATATAAAGATTATATATTTAAATAAATCTGCTTATTTCCAGTAGTCGATACATTAGTGTCACTATTTATCAACAGATGGCGCTGTCAGTGGGTTCTTTAGTCGATCTCAAATTTATCGCCACCCATAGTGACAAAGCTCCCGTTTATAAGGGGACATCAATTTTTGTTGATTATTATTGAATTAGGGGCGTTTGATTGCCCTGATTGATGCGGGTTGGATCCAGAACCCCCGTCGGATTCATTATTAATAATAATTGTATAAAAATGACATAACTTGTCTATTAACGCCGCCATTTTGCATTTATTGATATAACGCGTCATTCTTAAGAAAATATTTTTATTAATATATATATATATATATTTTAGCATTCATATAATTCAATGAATAATAGATTTTTTCACGCCGTATATAATATAATTTTATCGATAAAGCTATAATTTTGTTATCGGTTTTCGGTAACCGGTTCTCTGAGTGGTCACAGCTCTATCATGTGTCCATATTACTTGTAAGCCGTATAACATATTATGTATTAAGTTATTATCATATATATCACGTTTTAATTTAAATTGTCAGTTTGAATAACATTAATAATATATTGACATTAGTTTTTATTACTTAGGTACACAATACACAAGCTTTTAATAGAATACGTAGAATGGATAAAATAAAGAATTTAATTAAACTTATTTATATATAAAAATAGAAGTAAAAAACCGAAAAAAATATAAATATATTTTTAATTTTTTACCGATTTGTTCTACTAAAAAGCCAACACTACAAGACTAATATTTATTACCTTTTTAATTCATCTAAATTACTGTTAAAACTAATTGTAATGTCATTATAATTAAGTAATATATATTTTATTATATATAATAAATTAATATTTTTCATATTAAATTTAAAGTAGGTATGTCATAGTTGACATCTGTCAAATTATTTTATCGTGTGAGTAAAAATGGCGACAAACATATAAGGTTATTAAGATAAAAATACATATATATATATATATATATATATATATATATATATATATATATATATATATATATATATATATAGTTTTATAGTAACTATATAGTTTTCTGCTTTATGGGAGACCATAAATAATTTTATTGACCATTAAATACCTGATACGGAATTAGTTATGGAATTTTATTAAGAAAAAATAAAAGATTCATTTATAATGATATTTCTATCAATTCATAGATTTTATACGAGTTGAAGAACTAATTCAATATAATAAACATGGGAAAAACCTATTTATTTTACCATTTTTATATAAAAATCCGGTAAAAATAATTTGTTAATAAAAATTGTTATTCCCAAAGAGGTTTGATGTCAGGCAAGCGGCCGGTCGTGAAAACTATTCACATGTAAGGCAGACCCTGGCTAAAGCTGGGAAATTGCCAGGTATAAGATTATTTAATAAAACATTTGTATTAAAGTACATTGTTTTAAAGTTATACAATGCAACAGAAGTTACAGGGAAACTAAAAAAAACATTTACAATGAATAAATCAGCAATAAAGTAACGCATTTTCTCATCAGTGGTTAGCGTGTTTTATTTAACCGTGTCTAACTTTTTATGATGTGTGTTTAACATTCAATAACAAATTAAAAAACAAACATTAAAACCTCTTCTTTTCTTTGATTTTCACTGACAGATGTCATTGTCGTAAATTTGACATTTCGTATGGCGGAAAAATGTTGAGAAATATATATATAGTCTGTATTTTACACATTCTTTGTATTATTATATTATTTAAAGGAAATTGAATGTTGCCAGTTTAATATAGAGTCTAATTTGACTCGCCACAGACTAATAAAATACAGTAGCGAGTAGCATACTGAATTAATTTATTTTTTTTAACCGCACCAAAGGTGTTAATAGTCGTTGAAGGCACTTATAAGGTAGAAATGGGTGATTTAAATACATAAAATATAATTAATTCGTACTATCAGATGTTGTATTGTAATGAATACAGATAAAAAATAATCTTTTATATTCAACTGGCTGTTGCATTGTTTATGAAATGCGTTTCAAGTTAACGCGGCGTCATTAGGTGAATATATACGAATAAATGTGTTAATTGAATGTTATGTGTCAAAAAAAAATATTAATATCTATATATTTATTATTATTTAATTTATTTCGGTTCTTCAATTATTCATTTCCTATATTTATATAACCCGCCCTTAAGTTTTCGTCCATGAATAACAATGAGCATTAAAAACGATCATTATTCAATCACAGACAACAATAAAACTTTATTTATATTTCCCAAGCGTCGGGTAGTTTTTTCTAAACTGGCAACATTAATGAAATTACCTACATGAAATAACAAACACACCTTCGCAGTTATAAAAATTATGAACGGAAGCAAGTATGAAATAGTAATTGTGCGTAAATAAATAATAACATTAATATAACTCGCCTATAAAATACCTTAAAAAGATCGCTTCTATAAACGAAATAAAAAAAAATATGACTTGTCATCTTGACATTTGTCCGCGCCATTCCTGGCGGGAAACTAAGTGTCATTATGACAGTTTTATTTATAATGTGATTCAAACACAAGTTAATGGCTATACGTTGTCACACCATGTTAGGGTTGACTGAATAAAAACTATATCTATATAAGTTTATGAATATTTTTTATACCATACAGTACTGCCGTCACAGTTTAACACACACAAATAATAATCATTAATATATAGACGTTTAACGCATGTGATTTTTTTTTATTAGAAATGTCAAAAAAATATTCCGCACGAAGGATCATGATCATTCAGCCAACTTGGATTTTTTTAAATAATAACTAAGACTGGAATTGTTATGATTTATTGTAGCGTTTAATCAAAAACGAGATAGCCACAAAAATATCAATTTAAAAACCGTTTTGTTCGGACATTTTTATTATATTAATAGCGCAATTACAGAGGCCCAGAGCTCACTATGTAAAATCGCCAACACCTGAAAATTGCAGAGCGGTATTGAAAATAAAAATAAAAAGTAATTAAATACAACCTTATAACCGCAGACGTAAAGTTCACTTTTAGCCGTGCAATTATCCAATTCACTTGAAACATTCTTATACGCGTCTTATAAATGCTTTATTGTATATAAAATAAGGTCGAGAATCGCTTGTATCGAGTACAATGTACGTGTTTAACAACTTTAAATTTGCGTTCTCGAACATCTGTATTGCTGTTCTATAAATTCGTATTTCGAATGCGAATCAAATAAGTCTACAACGATAATTTATTATGAACATCTGAAAAACAACCTTATTTTGATGTGTCTTAAGGTTGACATATGTATGCAGTAATTTGTTGTTAACGACGAGATATTATATAAATGAAAACGGCTTTATTCTTTAGGCATTAGAGTTGAATTTCGTATGCGGTGATTAGTGAGAAATGCTAAAGGCGCGTGGGCATCGTGTGTGGTCGACAACATCGGAAGTATGCTTTACTTATTAAATCATGTTTAACTTTTTTTGTTCCAATACAAATAGTCTGATGAAATAGGTTATGGGAGCGGAAAAATAAATTAATGTGTAAACATAACGAAATTAACAATTATTCAAATATTTATAATAAAAACAATGTTTTAATAAGGTCACCGGCTGAATATTTTTTTTATTAAATAAATCATTTTCTATCATGAAGTATGTAGCACGGAGGTTTTATATGTCCAAGTAGAGCATACATGGTTCGTGTAACTCGTTTTGTAGCTACATCGCTGTGGTTGCGACGCGGTTAGTTATCACATAAACAATATTAAATGATATATTTTATGTTTCCCTTTCGGTTTAACTTCTATATTTTAAAGTCGACCATCATTATGATTATTTATCAAAAGGTTTTAACTGTACTCGTCTTAATCACGGTCAATAAATATGTATCGGAGTTACTAGTTAGATTAATTTTATTACTATTCATTTATTTCATACTAGTTGTATCCTATAGCTTTCTCTACAGAACTGTATGTATGTTTATAACTTTCATTGGTTTTATTGGTTAAGTAACGTTAACAGCAGTCAAATTTTGGATGGGTGACTAAATATCTATAGGTCAAGATTTAGATTAGGCCTAACGCTAATTAGAAGCTAGGACTGCTCTTAGAAACACTAACATATATACTTTATGAAGAATAAATTAAAATTATATTAATATTTTGTTCTTCTCTTTGATCATCAGATGGCGTAAATATCCAAACAAAATGGCGGCCGTCACCGCTCATCTGGATCAGATAAAGATTCAGGTTCCTAGCGACGAGGATCAAGAGCCGTACTCACCGAACACCAGAGACACAACCAGCCCGGAATACGAGGAGAAGGACAGACAAGTACATTCATCCTCTTTCTCCATACACAATGTGCTTAAGAAAGAAAGAGACAGCCCCGAGAATGTGTTCTCAACTGAGAAATTACTGCAGAACACGCCAAACTTCGAGGAAGGTTCCAGAAATTCCAGTATTAGTCCAAGATTGGATGACGAAAGAGCGGATATAAGTGTTGACGATTCATGCTGCAGTGATGATACTGTGCTATCAGTTGGAAATGAGGCTCCTGTGTGTAAATCACCGGAAACCCAAGGAATAACCACTTTCAAACACATCCAGACCCACCTAAACGCTATTTCCCAACTAAGCCAGAACTTAACCATGAATCAGCCGATACTTCTTCGACCGAACCCAATAGCACCAAACCCATTAATGTTCCTCAACCAACCCATGATGTTCCAGAACCCATTAATCAACCACGAGCTCAAAGCCAATGTCCCAAGAATGCAAATACCACAGAACAGCCTAAACATGAGCCAATTCAACATAAATTTTGGTTCAAAAAGCCACAAAAGCGACGAAAACCGACTAAATAACCAGAATTTCTCCCCAAAATCTCCAGATAACGAATCGGAGAGAGACTTCATTAACCAGAGTCTCAAATTCAGTATAGACAATATATTGAAAGCGGATTTCGGCAGACGGATCACAGATCCACTAACAAAACGGAAACCTTCGAAAGCAAGGTATGAGAAGACCAGCCCGTTAAAGGAAGTGACGTCAGTCAAGGAAGTTGAGGCGAGGGTCCCGGAAGTAAAACCAATTGATAAAGGAGCGATAGATCTGTCCAAAGCTGATGATAGTGGAAGCAATGCTTCATCAACTCCCGGTAAGCTATTACAAGCATAAACCAATAGAATATATTCAGTTTTCACCTTTTTTTACCCGACTGCTGCCAGGAGGGTTATGTTTTAGCAGTTTTTATTTTGTATGTATGTATGTACTATTCTTCATTATTTTATATCTCCAGAACCACTAAACGGATTTTCATATATTTATTAAGTAGTTATTAAAATAATTCTGATTTCGCTTTCGCAATCTGTATACAAAGATTTTCATCTAATCACGATTGCAAAGTATCCAACGTCGTTACATATAGAAGAAACAATAAAAAACGCGCAGTAATACAAAAATATTACTTTCATTTAAATGAATACAGTACTTTTATAAATCAGTAGTGTCCCAGTGGTTAAAAGGCCCCTCTCTCGTGCATGAGGGCGCGGGTTCGATCCTGGCAAGTACCAATGTGATTTTTCCGAGTCATATGTACTTTCTATGAGTATTTAGACATCACTGATTCAAGCATTCCCAAAGAGGATTGATGTCAGCCAGGCGGCCAGTAAAAACAATTAACCAAAACTATTCACAACATATAAGGCAGACCCTGGCTATAGCTGGGAAATTGCCAGGTAGGAGAAAAATACAGTATTTTTATTTAAATTAAATAATTGAACGTAATTATGACGTTATTTTAGTTGCATGTATGTATGTATCTTTATCTTTTTCTTATTTTTATCTTATCTTATCTTTATAGGTACGACTAGTGAAGGTCCAATGGTGTGGCCAGCCTGGGTCTACTGCACCAGATACAGCGACAGACCGAGTTCCGGTGAGTTAGAAAAATTAAACTTATTATCTAAGATTTTGCAACCACGAAAAATACATTAAAATTTTGGGAAAATACGTGTTTTAGTGACTTAAAATACGCACCGGCGCTTGGTAGTAAAACACAAAGTAATGAGATCTAAGACTATTAAGTATTCATTTAAATGAAACTAATATTTTTCATATATACTACGAGACTTTATTTTTGTAAACTACATACTACCGACGTTTCGGTTATTTTACAACCGTTATCACATCTTGTCTTAATGATCACGGTTGCTGTAAAGTAACCGAAACGTCGGGAGTATGTAGTTTATAAAAAATAAAGTCACGTAATATATAGAAAAAGTATTAGTAGCATTTAAATTAAACGTGTTTCTAAATGAATATTGATTTGAATATATATTTTGTTACGTAAATACTAAATACGCGGCGTATTTGGTTTTTCATTTATTATTACTAAGTAACTATAGTTTAAACTCTTTATATATAGTAAAACGATATTTGTATTAAGGTTATAGATTCACACTTGAAGTTATTTTCATGATAACTAAATTAGTTAAATAAATAACTGTCGGTTAATTCTTATTAATATATTAGCTATACAACAAAATTAACTTGTTTTAGATAAAATTTTATAGGAGCATAATTTTTATATATACCTATATATACATATATATATTTATATATATATATATATATATATATATATATATATATATATATATATATATATAATATATATATATATAAATTTTTAATGTTAAATAACTACCAAATATTCATTGTAAATATACTGATAAAGTGTATTACTAAAAAATAACAAAATATTACCCTTAAATACATCGAAAATCATAATAAACCAGAGTCAGTGACCCGTGTAATAGAAACACTCATATATTTGATAAGGCTCTTTATAAATGGTGAATTTGATGTTACTGCTTGATACTTCACAATCAAATATCTACCTTATCATATAGTAATAAGTTGTGATTTCGTTTGAAAATCCTCCCCTTTCCAGACTACCTCCCAGATACATTTCCGAGCTAGGGTGTAACTTTAAGGCGTGTTAACAAAAGATATTACAAGTAAACTTATAACAAGTTTTATGTTTTATTGAAACCAACAAAGTTTTCGTAGTACACGTGTTACTATAAGTTTGGACGTAAAACTGATAGTTTAACAGTTTTGTGCACGAAAACTAATGATTTGTTTATATATATAAGGGTCAATGTGCAATGTCAATTTTTCAGTAGAGACGTTTTTGTTTGATTTCAATATATCTTGTACATACAACTGATGCTTTTGAAACTTTGTACAGCAACTATGACATACATGTACGATATTTAAGATTGATAAACTGTTTTGTAAACCTTCTAGTTAAGTTACTTATGCTTTTTACTGCCTAAAACTAAGTCTTTTCACCAACAAATACGCATTTTATTAAATGGATGTTTTAGAAAACAGTATTATGAAGTGTTTAAAGCAAGAAAAAAATGGCTAAATTCAATAATATTTTTGGTTTACGAAGTATTAAAAGATTCCGTTGAAACACTTTATATACGTTTTTGTATAATATAATTGTATAATATTAATTATACTATACAATTAAACGTATAATTTCTTTAGCATCAATAAATTATCACTCAATAAAAACAAATAAACAGCACTAATGGAATTAAACAGAAACTTATAAATAGTTTAAGAAGGGTGGCTGGTAGTGAGGGGACGTGATACTTGAGTGATGTTACTTTTATCGATTGTTTAATTTATCGATATAAAAGCATCGATCTGTACTTACTATTAGTCCGTATCGTCACTACACGTATCGTTAACAGTATTTCATTAACATCTTCACACATTACAGTATTAACGTTGTATTGAATTAAACGAGAGACGATACGTGTGTAGTGTGACACTTGTGGTAAGCATATATTAATGTGTGTGTGTTTGTGTGTGTGTGTGTGTGTGTGTGTGTGTATTTTCATTTAATATATTTCAATTATTTCATTATTTCTATAAAAGCAACTTCATTTTTAATGCTAAACATTATTTTATTCATGAATTCTGGTGTTTAATGGCGTTTCAATTCAAATATGTTGTACTTGTTACTAGCAGGGATAATAATTTATATAAAAAACTGAAATAAAAGCCTAAGCAACATACTATAATCATCTATCAAAGAGAATTCAAATAAGTTGTACTTGTTATAATTCATACAAAAAAAATAAAATAAAGCACTATACTACACTTTTTAGATCATCTATCCGTTTGACAGCGTCTTATCAAAATAGGTCCAGCCGTTAATTAGATTAGGTTATAAGAACAGACGGACAAAAACATTAATTTTACAAGCTAACAAGTTGTTTAGCATCAAAGAATAACACATACATACACACATATGAATTGGTTTTAAGAAACGTAATTAGTGGCGTCTTGTGACATAAAAAGTATAAATCCCACAGGAGGGAACTCAATACCTGATCTTGTCCTCGTTATGCCAAAACTAGAGGATCGGTAATACCTTAGTACGTGTGTTACGTACGTACTGATAGTATGACCGTTAAAAGTTATAACTTATATGATATTAAAGAATACATAGCTTTGTCAATCTGTTTTGATAGTGCACTTACTACTAGTATACACTTCATACTATTCGCTTCGTTTCGTACTTGTAATACTTGGTAATCATGGTAATAACTTTGGATTTGAGATATAAGAAAAAATGATTAAAAATACCAAAGTAGTTGCATCAAAATGGGATAAGTAGTTCGTTTGAAATTTGGTAGAGTGAGGAGCTTGTACAGTAGAGGTAAGCGTTTAACGCGTTATATAGGGTCCCTTAAACCTACACCTGGGTCGCAAGTCACAGTCACTGTTGAAGCTCCTCTCACTACAACGATGGACCCGACACACGCACCGTGAATACATGGAATGATGAGAGGTTTCGTCTCTCTATATATATTAAACCTACACCTGGGTCACAAGTCCCAGTCACTGTTGAAGCTCCTCTCACTACAACGATGGACCCGACACACGCACCGTGAATACATGGAGTGATGAGAGGTTTCATCTTTATATAATTCCTAAGCCTTCGCATTTTAATATAACTTCTCTGAATATTCTCCATCAAATTAATTGCTTATTATAATTTTTGATTTTAATGTAATTATTCCAATTATATTAATTCAAATAAATTAATAAGAATTAAAATTTAATTCAACAATTAAATAATTCTTGTAATTAATTAATTATTAATTTCTGTTCTTATTTATTCTTGGATGCCATAACTACGAGCTTATAGTTAACACGAAAACGGATAGTTTTAAAGTATTTTCATATATTAATAGCCTTACTATAAGTTTAGATACTTACCTATGCGAAAGATTTAACAGTTTTTGAATGACAAACTATGTAACTGTTCGTTTTTAGGTTAATGGATGTGGTGATAGTACAAATCAAACCCTTAGTAGGCGTAATAAAACTATACAATAGTAAAGAAATGTAGATTTTTACTTTAATTTGTTTATATATTAATAATAAATTAATATAACATTGATATTCTTTTTTCATTTTATTATTATACTAACTTCAGTTTGTGACTTTGTAGTATCCAGAGAAAATTGAATAGTATCTAATATAATGTACAAGTAAATCAAGTGTAAATAGTAGTAACTTTTTAACTAAACTAAAGAAATTAGACATATATATTATATCCTATATCCTACAATAATATATGAGCTATGTTATTCTAAAGTTTCATCAAAATCGATACAGTAGTTATTAAGTTACACACGAACAAACATCGTTATAATGTTTCTTATTTTATCGACGCTCACCCCTCACTATAAAACCAATGACAAGTGTTTTTATTCCCCTTGATTAGTTTTTATTATTTGCTGGTTTAAACTGATTTTGTTTACTGTCACACTGTCAGTTCGATGGTGAATATTTCATTTCTTCTCCATGTGAGAAGAGGCTGCTCAGCGGGCTCTGATAGGCTGATGATGATGATAACTTTTTCATATAGATGAAAATTCCTTTAACACCTATAATACGACATTTATAAAGTCAGTGGTGTCCTAGTGGTTAAAGGCCCGCCTCTCATGCACGAGGGCGCGGGTTCGATCCTGGCAAGTACCAATGTGATTTTTCCGAGTCATACGTACTTTTTAAGAGTATTTAGAAATCACTGATTAATGCATTCCCAAAGAGGGTTGATGTCAGGCAGGCGGTCTATCGTA